GACTATCAAAATGCAAACTAGACAGAGATCATGTAAGATTTCTAAACACACACCAGACATGCAAAATGTGCAAATTTCTATCCTGGGGGTTATCTCTGAAAGAAATTTAGAAATTAACTCACTCTGTAACAGCCAGGATAGTAGGGCACAGGTGGACGGATGTGCCAGATGCCTGAGGCACCCTCTTCAGAGGCAGTAGCAGAGGCCCTTCACCAAAAGTATGACAATAACACTCTTCCATCAATAGAAGGAAAAGATCTGAAAGGAGCAACAAAATGGGTAACAAGATGCTCCCTTTCCTTTAAATTCCCAGCTACTGTTTCAAAAAATGGCTTAATCACTGAAAAGGCTCAGCAGGGTTTGGTGGCACATCCCAAACTCAGGAGGCTGAGGCAGAAGGATCGATGCAAGTTTGAGGCCAGCCTGGGCTACATTAGCAAGTATGAGGTCAGCCTGAACTACAAAGGTAAACCCTATCTCAAAACAAAGTAAACTGATGCCTCCAAAATAGCACTCTGAAATCCAGTGCATTTTCCTGTGGTCTTCTTAAGTTTATAGTAGCAATCAACTAAAACTGTATCAGTTATTTATAAACAGGGAGCAGGGCCAGGTCAAGAGTGAGCAGGGGAAGGGTCCCGGGGAATTCAGAGCCCTAGGCATAAGCTGACATCTCCTACTTGTACTCTGCTAATATCCTAGTGGCCTGGTGGCAAATCCAATTCACCACCTGGAGGACCTGAGCCAATTACTCAATTCTCCTGAGCCCAGTTTCCTCATCTATAAAAGCTAATTATATGTACCTCAAATGCTATCATAGAGCTAAATGAGCTCTGGCTGGTCAGCTCCTAAAAACAGTGTTATTTATTATAATTCCCAGTCCACCAATTGCTCCAGGAGCAGTCAAATATTTTTAAGCCACTAAGTGTTTAAGCAAAGTGTTTTATCTCAAAGATGGTTCCAAATCAAAGGAACAGGAAGTGCTTTAATCAGAAACTAAACATGCTAGTTCTACTGAGACTCTCCACCAAAACTGAGATGACATGATGCTGAATGCGTAACAGATTACATCACCTGACTGTCAGTCAGCAGAGAGCTGAATTCCCCCTTAGTTGCTTTCATGTGCTCTCCTCATGAAAAATGGAAAGTTTACAAATTGGTTTTTAAAATGCTAAAGCATCAAAAAACTTTATTCACAAGAAATCATAGGAACATCCCTATGAATAAAATTCATACTAGTTTTTAGGCAACTTCAAAAATGACTAATTTAAGAAATATAAGAATCTTAGCATTCTTAGAAAACACCCTACTCCATATTCTGAGGTCACACAAGGCCGAGGTAACATTCAGATCCCAGTTGGTTAGGAATATCTGCCCCTCTCACCCTTCAGAGTTCAGTATTAAGCCAAGAAAGTCAAAAGGTGAAGTTCAGCCTGGGCCTTCGTGATCTTCCAGTTAACCTAAGGGGGAGAAAATTCAAGAGGCCACCAGATGAGTGTCAGCAAAGAACCAAAAGGAAATGTTCTTAGGAGCAATTCATGGTTGGGCTCTGAGCAGTTAGAAAAATCTTTATTTAGGTCTCAGAAGAGATACAGGAGTCTGTAGGAGGAGTCTAAGGACTTCATAGCTTCTGGAAGGATTTCTTTTGCTTTTTGAGGGCAAGATCTATTTCAGAACAAAGCACACAGACTAGGTGCTACCTCCTTTTCCTCAGTAAGGAAGTCCACTGAGCATCTAAGTTAAGGCCATGACCTTCCCAATGAGAAAGGTGCTTGCAGGCACTTAACACAAGATGCGTGTGCGCTGACTCCACAGGCTAATTTATCCCAGACTGACTCTGCTGTCATCCGGTGCTTCCCATCCACACCCTGCCCAACTGGGTCTTCAGCCTAAGCAAAATGATTTTAGGCAGATGGTGGAGGGGGTGGTGAATCACATACAGTATTCTGAAGTAAAGACTTTCACATCATTTACATGTTTAGATTTCTACATAGCTGATCCCCTCCTCTGCCAGAGGGTGGTGAATTGAGTACTGAAATTTTTTCTCTTCTTTTATTGTCAGAACAACCTACATCTAACAGAAATTTTTTTAAAAATTTCCACTTAGCCAGATAATGTATTTCTTAAGATGCCAGATTCAAATTGAGGTTATATACATTACCCAGTGCTTAAGATTTACATAATAAATGTCATCTCCTTGGGACAATCCGTTCAGGCATTAAAAAGCTAGTTCCTGAATGCCTACAGAGGTAACAACTAATCCATCCTATCTAGAAGCATGGTTTTATCTAGGCAAAGTCCCTTAAAATACTTTATACAGATTATTATCAACCTGATGGTCCAGCCAAGTTACCAAGTTCCAGGTTTTCCTCATTCATTAAATGGTCATTCATAAATTTTAACTTTACAAATTCGACACGCTGGTGCAAACCTGTAATCTCAACACTTGAGAGGCTGAGGCAGGAGGATCACTGCAAATTGAAGGCCAGCCTGGGCTACATAATGAGTTCAAAACTAGCCTGAGTTACATAGACAGACCTGTCTCCAAAAAAATTAATAAATTTTAATTTTGCAAGGATAATAGGATTACTGAGAAATATATTCTCATAAAAACAGCGTTATACCCTTAGTGGGAGAGTAGACCTCTAAACTCACACACCCAACCTCCTGGGAGAGTGCTTCAGGATATCATAGGTCCACATCACTGAATTATTGCATTAGATTAACGCTGCCTTCATCGCCCATCCAGGCTACCACTTCCATCTTTCTTGCCTTTAAGGCAAAATAACACGATTCTTGCTACTGCCAAACTATAAAAACATCCTGTGTTTTCCTTCCCCAAAAACCTGACTCTCAATGTTGCTCCAAATGAAATATTATTACTTAAACGTAAGACAATCTCTCTAAAGGAAATACGAGGAAGGGAGAAAATAGCACATAAGATACTTTTTCATAGCAAATATCAAACAAGAAAAGTGTATACCTTTGTGTCTGAAGAGTCAAGTCACATAAATACTTAAAGCCAATCAGCTGTTCCCAGCTGCACTCCGCGGCAGTGAGCCGGAGCGTGCGCGCCTGGCGCTCGGCCGTCCTCCCGAGGCGCGGGCCCAGCTCTGCCGCCCGGACTCGCGGCGCGGCGGGAGGAGCCCACCCCGGGCCGCGCCCCCTTTATAGCGCGGCCCCGCAGCCGGGTGGGGGCGGGGAGAATGGAGGGGGGTGCCGCGCGCAGCGCGGTCATCCTCCCTGGAGCTGGGTGCGTGGGCACCGAGGAGGGCCGGAGGAGGCGGAGGGGGGCGCGGACTGCGGACTTTTTGCGCACCCTGGAAATTCCCGGGCCAAGAAGGTGCGGACCGAGCCCGGACATTCCCCGAGGGGGCCGGCTGCAAGACCCGGACTGGAACCACTCGGGGGAATCAGGGCCAGCAGCTAGAAAAGTGCTGGCTTAAGACGCTTTTTTAACTGGCCTGGGGAATCCATAGCAAGGATCAGTTTCCTCCACATTTTTCTTACTTTGCTTTTTCTAACCTTTTAAGTGTGTCAGAGGGAGAAGGAGGAGGCCCTTCCACAACACAGCTTTGTAGAAGCTGCAGTCAAAAAGCAGTGTCACTATTCCTTTCGTTGACAAAACTAAAGGCAGAGCAGTCTGCCTCAGAAAGCAGTGGTGACACATCGTGACACATTTTTCTTTTGAATGTTATGTATATCTAAAAATATACCAATAACATTTTTTAAAGAAGCAGTGGTCTTGTGACACAAAGATAACTGTATTTTCACAGGCCTTGGAGTCAGGGTGGATTTATACTGGGAATGAACCGTTGTGCAACACTGAAATGATTTTTTGTATGACATTTTCTCTGTCACTTATTTTCCTTTTGGAACCCTAGATACTGTGATCTCTAATGGGCTTCATCTTTTGTTTTTTTAAATTCTCCTCCCTAGGCAGTTACAGCCCAGTCTTGTAATTACATAGGAAATGACAGATGTCTGATTCTCCAATAGGAACAGGCATCTTCCAGAACCACGCAGTCGGGTTCTTAAAACTCAATAGGCCTGATTTCTTAATTCGAATATTAAAATTATATATAATGAATTTACTTTAAAAAGTTCATTTTCAAGAGAGATTAAAATTGGCAAAGTGTGTTTTGTGCTTCCAGCTTCTGTGTCCTATAAACTTCTGCCCCCGCAAAAGCTTCTTGCCACCACCTCCCTTTACCCCCAGGTTCCAGTAGCAGAGACTGTATCGCTTAAAAAACAAAACAAACAAACAACAACAACAAAAAAAAAAAAAACCACAGGGACCAGGATTTAGCTCAGTGGCACAGCACCTGCGTGACAAGCAAGAGGTCCTGAGTTCGATTCCCAGTACCAAAAACCAACAAAAAAACCTGAGGGTATCCTGAGTTCCCTGAAACTTTATTACAAAATAACTCCTTGGAATAATAATTCTTAAAGCATGAAGAAGGAATATACCTGAAAAGAGAAGCTTCTAGTATTTCTAAGGTTTAAGGGCTGAATTTTACCTAGAACCCACAAAAATAATGCCAAAAAACTGCTTTCCTGGAGGACTGGGCAGACCCATTTGTTCCCTTGGATGTTTATTTAGTTCCTTGCACCTGTCAGCGATCACCATTTCCTTTGAGTCTAGAAACAAGACACACTTCTGACAGGTAGCATATAAAAATAAAAATAGTGCCTTACCAAATTTGTTCTTCCCAAGTATTCTAATTATCAATCTGAAACTTAATACACAAAGTCAGGAAATGAGATGCATTATGGTTGTTCAGAACGGTAAAATGGATTATACTGGAACACCAAAGATCTATATTGTATCTACTAAAGAAAGGTTACTCTTAACAGGACAATGCCTCTAAAATACAATTTGTGTAGAAGATCCTTGATACAGTACTATCAAATCCATTATTTCGGTTCTGGAATATAAGATTCACTAAATTATATTGTTACTACCAAGCTAAAATAAAAACCCATATTGTAACCCATAGAAATATAAATGAACCAGTTTAAATATTTTATTATACTCCAATCATGTAATGACCAACTTATACACTAATAACATCATTAGAGAACTGAGGCAGACCTTATAATTACAGTATTAAGACTACTTAACATAGAAAAATATTTATACTGTATGTTAAATAAAAAGCAGAACCAATTTATATATGCTCTATAACTACAATATTTCCTTAGCACTTTGGTTCTAGGATCCTCTTCAAATAACAAAATTAGCAGATGTTCCAAGCCTCTTATATAAAAGGACATAGTATTTGTATATAACATATGCACATCCTCTGTATACTTTAATTCATCTCTACATTACTTATGCCTAATACAATGCAATGCTACGTAAATAGGTATTATGCTAGTGCATGACAAAATTCTGTACTAGAACAGATTTGTTTTTCCCAAATATTTTTATCTTAAGTTATACTAGCTGAATCCACAGATACAGATACCAGAGGGCTGATGGTAAGTGTTTAAAAAATTTACAAGAAAAATATCAAAAAATGCTAAAGTTCATTGCATTCATGATAGAATTACACAGTTTATCAACATACTGGGGGGGTTTTGTTGTTTTGAGACAGGGTCTCACTGTGTAGTTCAGACTGGCCTTAAACTTGTTTATGTAACTGAGGCTGGCCTTGAACTCAGTGATCTTCCTGCCTCAATCTCCTGAGTGTTGGGATTACAGATGTGTGCCACCACACCCAGCCTCTTCAAGGTTTTATGGTTTTTAAAATTTATAAAAACCTTTATAATGGGGAAAAAAGATTCAAAACAAACTTTTTTGGCGGTCATGCTAATATTCACAACTGTGTGATGCTAGTCTACAATAAATTTTCAGAAAAAAATTATTATACATGTTTCAGACTTTGGATTTTTTAAATTTTGGAGTATCTGCACATGAAGATTCTTGGTGATTGACCTAATCCTACATATGAAATTTTTTTCATAAAACCCTTATACATATAAGCTGAAGGTGATTTGATACAAATTTTTAGTGTGTCTGTGTTTTGACTGTGACTTGTCACATAAGGTCAGGGGTAGAATTTCCCACTGGTCATGTCAGATATGGAAAGAAGTTTTGGATACACAAGTTTCAATATCACACGGTTTCTCATAAAATAAATAAAAAATAACGCAAAAAATTAAAAACAAAATAAAAGATAAATAAGAAATAGACTGATCTTTTATAAAAGAGAAAGGGACCATGAGATGGAAGGAGGGAGAAAAGGATGAAAAAGAATTAAATTCTGTACCTGCACCAACTCCCCAAGGAATACAGTCATTATGTAGTACAAAATGTACCAGTCAAAATTTTTTTAAAAACACACTCTTCCCACAGGGTAGAAAAACAAGTTTTGGATTTTGAAGTATTTCAGATTTTTCAGATGAGAGATCCTCACTGTGTATCTAGTTTTTCTGAGAAAGATTTAGGGAGTATTTCAAACTCTATTAACATTTCCACACCAGAGTGTAGAAAGACAAAAGAGAGAAGAAAGTGATGGAAACTATCTCAAGGAACTACCATCATATCTTTAGAACTTTATGTAACCAAATCAGAAAAGTAACAGAAACTGGAGAACTCACAAAAAAATCAGTTACATAAACAAGCAGTACCCCTCCAGACCACTGGAGAGGCACTGACCTCTTCCTTCTTGAATTCCCCAAAGAAAAAGATTCCTCGGCCTTTTCCAGCAATATTTCTTAAGAAATGCCCAAAATTCTCAAAATATAAAACCTCTTTAAAAACCCTAACAAGTGACAGCTGCAAAGGGGTACAGATTCCCACATACCTTAGTTCAAATCCAAACTCAAGTTATTCATCTATGAAATGAAGCTAGTACCACTTATATTAATAGACTATAACCAAATTAAGGAAGACACATGTAAAGCTCTTGAAACAAAAGACAGTGTTACTTTCGTGTTTCTGTCCTTCCTCTCTGTCAGTGTTTCTCAAAGTATAGAATAGCTACATGATGTCAGTATCACTATTATAAAGGCTAACTAACTCCATACCTCCTGGAGGCACAGACCTTAAGTCTGCATTTTTCAAGTATTACAAGCTTAAATGTTTACATATGTACTACTTTTTCCCTCTTTAGATTCACAAAACAGTGTGAAAAACTTTTCTCCATAAAAATATTAGATGATCCTCAAGGATAAGAAAGAAAGATCTTAGGCACTCTGTTTAAAATTTTTTTTAAAAAATTCTTTGTCTAGTCCTCTTAGGGTACAAACTTTTCATACTTCAAATATCCATCTTCATCTCTACAGCCTCCTCAGTTTCCTCACATATCCAGTTAGGTACAACTAATATTAGACTGTAATTTATCATAGCTCAAAATGAAGAGTACTTAATAAATGATCTCAGATTAACTAAACTCACAATTGACAAAATCAAATAAAATTGGTGATTCAATTATCTTAGTAGGAAAAGCATCTTTTACTTCCAAGTACAAGAGAATGTATAAACCTTATATGCAAATCAAGAAATATCTGCTCCTTTTTTATCTAATTATATTAATTTTAATTAGGCCCTAATTTCTATTTTTAATATGCAGGTCAAAATAACCAAAAATCAAATACTTGAAATTAGTGGAAAGAAAGGTCTACAACTTTATAATAGTATTCTTTACATACAAGTCAATTCTTAAAACCCTCAAATTTTGAAACATAAAAATAAACTTTTATTTACAGATTCCCCTTTCAGTTCCAAAAGTGATTACTCTAGAATAAGTATTCATCACACAAAATTTAGCTGAATCAAGTAAGAAATAATCATTCAATCCAAATATCAATTCGAAACATAGATATTATACATAGTGCTTTCACATTTCCCTTCTGCTTCTTTCCTAGATAAAAGCAGAAAACTGTTAATGTCCTCACTATAAAACTCTTACCAAACACATAGTCTTTTCAAGTAATTCAGAAAAGGTAGAGCAAGAGAAACCCCTGAGACATAGTAGTCATCGCTGTGTTACAGGAGCCTCTGACCATAAGCCCTAATTCACTCCCCAAAGATGGACCACTTATGCTATTCATAAAGATGTGTTCAATTTCCTCTACCAGATAAGCTACAAACACTCTACTGTCAACCAAATCTGTCCCTTTTACATCAGAACATTCTTGTTACATTTTAGCACAGTAATTTCCACTCCCAAGAGAAGTTAGTAAAATACACTCCTTGGCATCTTTGGTTATAACGGGGAATACAGAAGAGTATTTTGTTAATACATTTCTACCATGGCTAAAATTGGAAAAAATCCTATAGGTAGATAAAAATGTAGCTCATACTGACTAAGCTCCTTATAGGTCATTATATAAAATACAGACGTTTTTGAAATTTTGTACATCTTAATAGTAGCCACTTCACAATAGGGCCGCCAACAAACTTTCAGTAATGTAGATCAGTTGGGAAGGTCACCTAATGTGATTCCTCTAGTCTCTCCCAGGACAGGCTAGGTCTCCAAGGGGCACACAAAAGACAAGAACATGTCTAGCTGGTTCTTCACAATTACTTCATCTGGATGCAGTTTGTGGGGTAAATAATGGGCCAGGGTCATCTCCCAGGCATCAACAAGATATACGCCGACCCCTGAGAACATCCTCCGAAGGATACTGTCCAGTTGAAAGGTGTACCAGTCACTGTTGAAGAGGCTCACCTCAGGCCCCAGCTCTTGGGCGTTGGCTGTTCGGATGACCACTATAGTCTGAGGGCTTCGATCCAAGAGCTGGACCACTGCTCTACGGATATTCCTGAGCCGCCGGATGTATACTTCCCAGGGGAAGGTGCTGAAGTGAGACCATACGGCTATAGCAACTACTGTGTTCTTTCCTCCCACAATCCCATTCAGTTCATTTGCCACATAATGGAGCTCACTGCTGAAGACAGTCGTGAAGCGGATAGGTGGACCATGGCAGCGGTATTTGAGCAGGATGTTATGCTTCTGGTCCACTGCAAGAAAGGGACCTACATTCTTGGGACTACCTAAGTCAAACTCTACCAAATCTGAAACAAGAAAAACACAATTTCATGAAGACATTCAAACTAAGCACATATGTTTTGAATATTTTTAAATGGCTCAAAGAATAGTGTTTAAAATTAAAGTACAACAAAATGTTATAATATAAATACAAAGGAAATACCTATTTCCCTGCTTCCATTATGATGATCTTATAAGTAAAACCATCAGTGAGAGATTCTATACTTACATCTCTGCCTCAGAAACAAAACAACTGTCTACTTAGCCAAAAAATCTTGGTGTTTGAGTATTTGATATTTTCAAAGCAAATTGGCATCTACACTTTGTTCTTCTATCAGGTATATCTTTCAGGATGACGACTATACCTTCTGTTTTATGAATACATACTAGTAACCAAATAGCTCTTTTTGGAAATTCAGTCATTTGCAACAACACTGATAAATCTGAAGGACAGTATGTGAAATGGAATAAGCCAAGAACAGACAGACAAAGACAGCATGATCTCACTTATATGTGAGGTCTAAAAAATGTATAACACTATAAAACTCACCAGAAGCTAGGAGCTTAGAGTGGGTTGAAAGGAGAATGGGGAGATGCTGATCAAAGGGTAGACAGCTTCAGTTAGGATTAAAGTTTTTGAGATCTACTGCACAACATGGTGACTATAGTTTATAATAATGTATTACATATTTACATATTTCAAAGCTGCTAAAAAAGTAATCCTAAATGTTCTAAATACAAACAAATACTTAAAGTAATATATTTGGTAGTTAGCTTGATATAATCATTCCACAAGGTACACATATATCAAAGTATTACACTGTACCTCATAAATATATATAATTAGCTATCAATTAAAATAAGCTTTTTAAAATAAAAACAACGAAATACAAATTACAATTCTAAAAGAAAAGCAAATTTTTCTTTTTGGAGTAAGTGAAACAAGCAATTCTGTTTCTTTTAACTTTAAATTTTACCCTATGGTTGGAAAATCATATTAATCCCTACATAACGTGTCGCTATCATGAGAAATAACAAAAGCAACAGCATAATTTAGAACTCCCTTCCTTTCCTCTCCCTTATTGCGTTTCAAGATCTAGGTCCTCCTGAATGTTCCAAAGAACCCAGGAATCAGTGGGACCTCTTTGTTATACCTAAAAAACTCTGTACAATTATCACTTGAAATATGCTCACAGGCAGGAAGAGGATCTGTCTCATAACCCTAAGTGTTCCCAAAAGTGCCTTAGAGAAAACAGAGTAAGTAAATGTTAGCAACACAACTCCTTTAGCATTTCTAAGCACCTATTCAGTGACTAATACTGTAGGTACCATAAAAAACAGGGAAGTCTTAGTCCCTGCCCTCAGAGAGCTTACTCACTCTGAAGAGGTTGGATCACACTCTGTCTTATATTTTTAATATAGGTTTCACTTTTTTCTCCATGTAATCCCAGACTTCTCTTTCAGATCTGCCTATCTAATTCATTACTACTTAGTATCCAACCCTACTTAAACTGCACAAAAGCTCAAGCTACCGTTTTCTTTCGATTAAAATCAAACACCCACACAAGGCTTTATCAGATGAAAACATTTCTGTAAAGGGTCTGGTGGAAAACAATCAAAGCGGTCAATGTGATCACTGCCTTTAGTGGAAATACCAAATTACATCATAAGAAATTAAGAAGCCAGCAACTGCAGTCACCTGAAAGCCCTGCCTACTCAGCATCAAACCACATCCAATACCATACCACACATTTTCCTTTTTGATTACTGCTTGTTTTATCAAACAGAACTCTACTATGTCCATTTCAATAAAAAACAAAACTTGGAATTGGATTTTCTTTTTAGGATAATATCTACTTCTTCCTTTCCTTCTAAAAATCAAATTTGAAAGTAAGTTTATACAGTAAGTAGGAGAGCTGATGAAAAACATCACAGTAATTCACAGCAAACCACAGGGATTTAATTTATGAAAAGCCCTGCCCATACATGATAATAAAAAAACCTGTCAGTTTCTTAGGATTCATCCCTCCTTCCCTCATCCACACCACTTCCAGAAAAAGCAAGCCTATTATGAACAGGTGGCGGGCTTCCAACCAGTGTGGTGTTGCTCTGCATCTGAACAGCAGCCCAGAGCCAAGCAGAGCAGTTAAGAAGCTAAGAACACTAGAACTTATTCAGATTCCCCCAATAGGAGCCAGCTCTAACTCAGAAGGCCTAACAGATGGATTTGCTACAAGGATGCGTTAAAATAAACCACAGTTAAGTTTGGCTACTTCCTTCCAGTTTAATCTACTATAATCTGGAATGGAACCAACCAGAACCTGAAGAGAAACAAATGGCAATGTCCACTTCTATTGTATAACACAGTATGTTAAAAGACACCTGCTCCAGCTGTCTTATCTCACAGAGGAAGAAATGATGTCCTGAGAAGCAAATGACTTATCCAAAATCACACAGTAAATCAGGGTTTCCACCAGAACAGTAGTCCCATTATTTATCAGAAATTGTCACACATCTCTCCCAGGTTAGGACACCCTACCAGTCCTACTTAGAAAATAACTGCTTTAGCCAGGGATTTAGCTCAGTGGCATAAGCGTCTGGCTGGCAAGTGCAAGGTCATGAGTTCAATCCGTGGTACCAAAGAAAGAAATTAACCGCTCCCTCATAAGATGCCTTTCTTCAGGCACCAGCATGATTCTACTTATTTCAGATCTGATTTCATGCACGTGTGACATAATTATGAAAACAGTAAAGTACCAACCTGGAACAAAGGCAGTGAGGTATTCAAACCACTGCCTGATTGTGGAGTCACCAAATAAATACACTATCTTTCTCTGCAAACATTCTGTAATGTTGTCAGGGTCATTAAACTGGCGCATCTTAAACTTTCTGGGCCTCCACTGGTCTTTGTAATAATACCCAGAAGGAAAAGTTCCTGAGCCTTGAGATACTTCTAAGTTGTAAGTTTCTGTAAAGAAGAGGGGAAAAATAATACATCATAAAATTTTCTTCCAATTAATAGGTGAAAAGCATTCCAAGAAATATAATTATGTCCACATATCTGTTAGCTTGCTGGCACATGGGCAACCTTTCCTGTGGTCATAGCTCAAAGAAATCACAGACATCCCCTTCCATACAAAAAGGTTCTTTGCCCCAAAATGGCAAGATGTGTGAAATAAGCATGGGGTATTGACAGACACAAGGAAAAAGGAGACTTGAGCATTCTGTCTAATTATATATGTTTTTTATCAAAGCCAAAAATAAAGAAAAGCAAAAACCAAGTAAACCAAGGATATAAACATTTGTTCAGCATTGCTCCAAAACAAAACTGCTTTAAGTCAATAACAAATTCCCACCTTGTACATACACAGTGATGTTTATCTAATGTTTTTTAGGTCATTAAAAGGAAAATTTTAATCTCTGGGTCCTAAATTCAATTTTTAACTCAGAAAAACCACCATTGAACTAGCTATGATAGTATAATCCCAAAACTCTGAGAGTGCTGAGGCAGGAAGATCACAAGTCCAAGCCCAACCTGGGCAATTCAGACCATGTTCACAATTTATTAAGAGCTGGGATGTAGCTCAGTGTGAAAGCCCAGGATTCAATCCCCAGTGAGAGAGAGACTGAGGGGAGAGGGAAAAAGAGGAGAGGGAGCAAAAGGGAGATCATTAAATACAGAGAACAAACTAATGCCATATGAAGGATTTTTGCACATTACAAAAAGGTTCAGAATTTATGTATAAGAAATGCTAAAAGAAAAAAAAACAGCAATATGTACTCATCATTGTAGCCTAGCTACACATGATGACACAAGCACCAATACACCTTTCAGAGGGAGAGTCAACATCCTTCTGCCCCAACACCTCCTTTCAAAACATGATACTACAGAAACAATTAATGCTTCAAAAAGATAGTGATAGCTAACATGTCTTGCAAGTTTATTCTGCACCAGACACTATTCTGAGCAACATATTATTATTATCTCATACAAAGCTCACAATAACTCTTTAAAGGTTATTTCTGGCTTTCAGAAAAATTAAACAGCTTGACAAAGGTCACAGAGCTGTCATGTGAAAAAGCCTGAACATGACAACAGGTGAGCCCTGAAGCCCAGGTTCTTAACCACTGTGCTATACACTACATCTCAAACAAAGATGTCACCCATTTCTTTTGACCTTTTCCTTGAAGGTGTATAATTAATCATTTCTAACAATTACTCAAATCTATAATCATTAAGAAATTTCTAATCATGTTATATCATTTACTTAAATACCACAAAGTTCAACCTTGACCACAATCCAGTCATGGTCAGCTGTTTAAGCATAATTTGAAATGCAAATGCTTATATAACTAAGAAATTTAAAGTGAATCCTCAATTTGTGACTATTTTCAATCTATTTGACTTCTTTAATTTACCATATTCAATCTATTTGACTTCTTTAATTTACCATATTACTCAAAATTATTTGGGATTTTTTTCATTCTTTTCAAAGAAAAAATGTCTGATTCAACTGTACATTTCTAATCTTTCTCTTTACTCAAGATTACATTGGATTCAGGAATCAAACTGCACGGGAAATACTTCCCAGAATCAACTACTAGAATCAGGTCTTATTAAAAAGTTTCTGCACATCAAAAGAAATCTCTAGCATAGTGAAATGAAAACCTACAAACTGGGAAACCATCTTAGTGAACTGTCCCTTGGACAAAGGACTTCTGTCTAAACATATAAGGAATTTTAAAAAATCAGACCCCCAAAATTCAAGAATCCAATCCAAAAATGGGCATCTGAGATGAATACACAATTCTCAGATGAAGAAATATAAATGGCAAATAAATACATGAAAAAATCTTCATCATCACTACTCATTAGAGAAATGCAAATTAAAACCACACTAAGATTCCATCTCACTCCTGAAAGAAGGGCCAGGATCAAGAAAACTACCAACAACAAATGCTGGAGAGGCTGTGGGGAAAAAGGAACTCTCCTGCACTGTTGGTGGGAATGTAGACTGGTACAGTCATTGTGGAGGTCAGTCTGGAGATTTTTCAGAAAGCTGGGATTGGAAGTCCCATTTGTTCCAGTTATTCCACTTCTAGGCATATTCCACAGACTTCATACCGCAGTGATATATGTGCACCCATGTTTATAGCAGCACAGTTTGTAATAGCCAGATCTTGGAAACAACCCAATTGTCCATCAACTGAGGAATGGATAAAAAAGTTGTGGTATTTTTATACAGTGGAGTACTACTCAGCTATAAAGAATGATCACATTGAGATATTTATAAATAAATGGGCACAGCTTGAAACCATACTCATAAGCGAAATAAATCAAACTCACATGTATAAATACCAAAAAGTCTCCCTAGTGTAAGAAATGGTAAGAATACATAAGAGTATGTGGTAATCATGATTCCCCATTATACTGTTTTGAAGCCTTATAATGTTTTCATTCATTAATTGGAATGATTTTATTCTGGGGTGTTTGATTTTATGGTCCGTGATGGTATGAACAATTATTTTGAAGAAACAAGACATTATAATAGCTAGCACTGATTTAATATCATCTTGTTTTGAAGTCCCATCAAGCTTTTGTTCTTCTGTCTCCCATCGAGTTTATCATGTTGTATCTTATTGGATTTTATTATATGTGATAGTATAAACAAAAATTTTTTATAGACAAGGAGATAATATAGAAACCATTATTCATTTTCTGTTAGCTGGTTCTAAATACCCTGTAATACTTTCATCCTCTTGAATGGTTTTACACTGTCCTATTACGTTTGATGCTATAGTATACGAAGTTATACTCAAATATTTCAAGGAAAGAGACACTATGATAACTACTGTTATGTCGGTTTATCTTGGGGTGAAACACTATGTTGTTTAAATTGTTTTGTTCTGACCTGTGTTGTTATGTCCCCTTTAATCTTAATCTCCTTTATTTTTTAAATAAAAAAGATTACATTGGATTATTTCATTCTTAAAGAAAAATGCCCTATTTAACTGACAGTACTGTATATGTTTAATTTTTCTTTTCCTAAGCATCTGCTAATTCTTTGTAGGTTCATGACTTAAGTGGAAAAGTCAGTGTTTTTTAAGCATTATTTTGGCAAATACAATCATAAAAAAAACACACACACACAAGGGGACAAAACATTTACTTGGCTTACTCAAAATCAATTTTTTGGGTAACCAGCCACATGGACACCAACCACCATCAGAGATGCTTCCCACAGGTATCCAATTCAGTCTGGAAAGCAGCAGCCACCCCTGACCATATGGGCACACCAGCCGCCATCTGGGATGCTTCCCACCAGTAGCCAGCACAAGCTGGGAAGAGCAACAGCCAGCCCACACCAGTGCACCCAATGGCCACCATCAGATACCTGTAGCCAGCACTGGCCAGGTATCTGCCAGCCAGTCGTGCTTCCAAGAAATTATAGCCAATGCACAAAGTGTCTGGAGCCCACTAGCCACCTGTCCAGAAGAACCCAGGAAAATGTCAAGATGAAGAAGCAACAAGCAGTCTCTGGCCTCCCAACTACGCAGAGCAAGTGCAAGAGAGGTAAACACAGAAGGGATTGGCAGTTACACTCTGAAGTTTCTGAAGTGATGGCAATTTAAGTAAAGAGACAACTTCATGAGGCTATAAAAGAAATTAGAACAGAAATACTATCTCAGGTAATAAAGAAATGAAAAACAATAAAAGAACTGCCAAGTATCTCTAAAGAAGACAGATTTTTAAAAAGTACACATCTGAAAATGAGGAAAACCTCAAATGAACAATGTAAGAAAGATTTCAAATGCATGAAACACATTCAAAGACATAGCCAAGATAAGAACTCCACTGAAAGATGGCAAAACTGCTTGAAAGAAACTGAAGATAAACTTGCAGACCTTGAAGATGGGTTTGCAGCTAGCAATCACAAAAGGAAAGATCTCTTAAAAATAACAAGCAATCAGGAAGTAACAATTCAAGGGCTGTAAGATGACACAGAGAAAAATAATTTAAAAATGATAGATGTCAGCAAAAAAAGCAGGGATCAACACAAATGACATTAAAAGTCTATTTCCACAAGTAATAGCAGAAAACTTCCCAAGCATGGGAAAAGGACCTGACATACAAGTAAGTGAGGCTATAGAACTCCAGTTAGTCATAACCAGAATAAATCTAAACCCAGACATACAATGATCAAGATCCCAGAAATTCAGCATAAGAACAGAGTATTAGAAGCTGTTGGAGAAAGGAAACCAATCACCTATAAAGGAAAACGCATCAGAATCATGACAACACTTTTTTTTTTTTTTTGGTACCGGGGATCAAACTCACCTCGCACTTGCCAGACAGGTACTTACACCACTGAGCTAAATCCCTGGCCCTCATGACAGACTTCTTAACATAAGCCATCAAGTCAAGAGCTTGAAGTGATGTTTTTGAAGTCCTGAAAGAAAACAACTTCCAAACCAGGTTGATGTACCCTGCAAAACTTGCTTTCAAAATTAATGGAGAAACAAGATGCTTTCATGACAAAGAACAACTTAAGGAATTCATGACCACCAAACTAACCCCACAAAGAATACTGAAGACATTCTAGAGAGAGATAAAAGTGACTACGGTTCCAGGACAGCAACAGAGGGGGATCACCAAGTGGGACAAGCAATTTAATGGAGGGGAAAAGTAGGCAGCCAACGACAGGAAAATAGCAAGGCAGAGACAAGCCAGTACACATTGGCCAGGACCATTAATGTAGATGGCCTCAATTCACCAATAAAAAGAAACATAGGCAGAGTGGATCAGGAGACAGGCTCCATCAATATGATTTATACATAAAGAAAAGAAACATATTTGACTCAAAAGAAAATTCATAGACTGAAAGTCAAAGGAAAAAAAAATGCTCTATGTGACAGGGAACCAGAAAAAAGTAGGGGTACCTGGCAGATCAGCTGCAGATAAAAAACATATGGCATTTTTATACAATGAAAAGCTATTCAGCTATAAAGAAAGATAACCTCGGGGCTGGGGATTTAGCTCAGTGGCATAAGCGCTTGCCTTGTAAGCAGGCAGTTGTGAGTTTGATCCCTGGTACTGATAGAAAGGAAAAAGACAAAAAAAAAAAAAAAAAAAGATAACCTCGAGGCTCTTGTAGGTAAACGAATAGAACTTGAGATCATGCTCATGGGTGAAATGGTTCAGAGTCCCATAGGTGAACATCGAGTTAGTGGCATTCAAAACACACTATATAGTATGAAACTGAAAGGGGAGAAAATGTCTAAAAAGGGAAAACATCAGCCACTGTTAATCTATTATTTTGTTTTGAAATCCCGTATTGTTTTCTTTTCTTTTTTTTTGATACTGGAGATCGAACTTGCGACCTCCCACTTATGCTACTGAGCTAAATTCCTGGCCCTTGTATAGTTTTCATTGTTCTATTTGGTTTTATTCTGTTTTGATTTTTAAATTTTATTATATTTGATGGCGTGAACAGTTGTTTCAAAGATAAAATATATTATGGTCACCACTACTGATTTCCTACAATCTTGTTTCAAAGCCCTGTATTGCTTTCATTAGTTTTGTTTTTATTTTATTCTATTTTGTTTTGTTTGATTTTATTATGTCTGATGGTATAGGCAGCTCCTTTGAAGATAACAAGAGGCATTATGGTAGCTATTGTTGATTTCACATTATCTTCTTTTGAAGTCTTTATTGCTTTGTTTTGTTTTGATTTGTTTTACTCTGTTCTGTTTTGTTTGATTTTATTATGTCTGATGCTATGGGCAGCTATTTTGAAGAGGCATTATGGTAGCCATTGTTGATTTCCTTTTATCATGTTTTGAACTCTTGTATCACATTCATTGTTTTTTTTTTATTTACTCTATTCTGTTTTATTTCACTTGGTTTTATTCTCTTCAAAATTAAAAAAAAAATTTTCTTGCCAAGTACAGTATCCTATAATATATTAGTCATTTAGGACACTAAGGTAGGGTGATTGCTTTAGTCCCAGAATTCAGTAACAGCTTGGGAACACTGCCAGAACCATCTCAAAAAAACAGAACAACAATTTCTCAACATGTTATCAGGTGCAGCTTTACTACCTATACCTTAGCCAAAGTGCACTAGTATTAATATATCAAAGCTGCATAGCTACAGCGATGCACTCAAGACACCTGGGCCCACAAAAAACATTGGCTAAGATGAGAATTAAACTTGATTTTGAAAATACAATATTATGATAGCCAACTTGGCAGTTGGCTATTCACTGTCAAGTACATGTTAAAAATAAAAGTATATACCACACAGAAACAATTACTATTTCCATTCAAACATTAATTATATTTACTACCAGAATAATATCATGCAAAGCAAAAACCTGACTTTGATTCTTTAAACCTGCCCTGTGCTCCTCTACAGTATTGTTAGCTGACACACATATAACTCTGCTGCCCCCTTATGCTCAGTCAGGACAACACTATTTCCTGACTTAAATGATTTCAAGCAATTTGAAGGTGTTTTAAAAGTCAGTGTTCCTTGGGGCTGGGGATTTACCTCAGCGGCATAAGCACCTGCCTTGCAAGCAGGCAGTTGTGAGTTCGATCCCTGGTACTGATAAAAAGGAAAAAGACAAAAAAAGAAAAAAGGGTTAAATAGCTGACCATATTAATGTTTTTGGTTGGATCATTGAACACAACTGTTTGCAGTCTCTCTGTTTGAATGTTCACTTTGTATGCTTTGATACTGTGACTTGGGCAACTATCTCTAAGATGATAATGTGTAATCTATTAACTGGTGATTTCTTACTGTTTTGTTTTTTGGTTTTTGGTTTTTTTTGGGTTTTTTGGGGTTTTTTGTTTTTTTGTTGTTGTTGTTGTTTTGGTTTTTTTTTTGTTTTTTTTTTTTGTAGTTCTGTATTACTTGTACCCTTACACCGCTTGGTTTTGTTTTGTTTTGTTTTTCCTTTTAAATAAAATTAAAAAAAAAAAAAAGGTCAGCGTTCCTTGGAACACAAAGCAAGACTCCATCTCAAAATAAGATGAGCGCTGTACCATTGAGCTATATCCTCAGCCCCAGGAAAGCTGTTCTTTATGAAAACAATTCCACCTAATAAACGCTGAAAGAGTGAGAGACACATTAAGTCATCATAATTCCACAGAAATTATTGCTGCAGACAAAAGCCAATCAATGCTAAAATTAGTAAGTGAGATTTTAAGCAAAAACAGTATTTGCATGAAGAACAAAACCTTATTTGGGAGTCTTGGAGTGCCCTCTTCTGGTTACTACAGAAAACTCCAATGAAGTTCTGCCAACTACGCTCCTTGGATATAACATAAATCAACTGCCCTTCTTTCCAATTTCCTACCTGCCGCAAGGTGGTTTTCCCATTCAAAGCTTAGCTATTCTGCTCCCCCTGATTCAAAGGTATTTCCTTCCTCTAAAAATCTAAATACCTCACTATTTACTGAATCTATCTCTGCTTTAACAGAATAGTACATCACAAACTCTAACCATTTCCTGGCTTATCTCTACAGTCCATCAGGTGCCAGTAAACCATGAAGGCTCCTCTCACTAACCATTCCACAGGACAGCCAGCAGAAGCTGGGCAAGCCAGGAAGGGCCATGAGGAAAAGCAAAGCTTCAGGGGAGGGCTAGGGCCTCCAACGGATGGGAAGCTATTCAGACTGCAGAGCTGAGTCTACTGACATCTAGGCCATGGGCCTAAGGCCCAGAAAGAAAAAGTATTTCCATTAATGATGTTTCATATTTGTAGCCTATGAAATTAGTGATCCATCTAATTTAGGTAAATCAACTACAGCGCTTCATCAGGAAAATACTGAGAATTTTTGGCATATGACAGTGGACCCCACAGATACAACTGGCTGAACCCTGCCTGCATCCAGACCACAGATAAATATTACTTATCCCATAGAATATTTCAAAGTTTTTAATTAGACACCAGTGTTTTATTTTTGTTTTTCTGACACAGGGTCTGCCCTACGTGACTGAGCTGGCCTTTAACTCACCAGGTAGCCTAGATTAGCCTCAAATTTATACCAGTCCTGCCTCAGCCTCCTAAGTGCTAGGATTACAAGTGTATGTCACCATATCCAGCTGAATGCCAATGTTCTAAACTCTGCAAATATCACATTTAAAAATTAAATGTTCTGGTCTTTCATGGAAGAATAAATGTAACAGATCTGGCTCACTGAGTTTGTTTCTATGCGGTAACAAAGTGACAGGAATTAAGGGAAAGTACTTGCCTTTAATTTCTTCCCCACAACTCACAAAAGGTACGGATACACCTCGCTTGCTTGTTTTACACACCTAGCCCCTGTGGAAAAGGGTTTGCAACATCTGCTGTATAGGATACTATCAATATGTCTTCAATGACTAAAGAATGGCCATTATCTACACAAGTCTCCTTAATATTCATCCTTTTACAAATCATTACAGCTGATTATATTAAAAAAAAAATAACATACTTACTCTTCTGAATTTTATTCTTTTATTACTAGTATCCTATATCAATAGATCAGAATCACTTCGGAAGTTTGTTAAAGCACAGACTATTGAGGGTCACCAGTCAGAATTTATGATGCAGTAGTCTGAGGTAGGACCTGAGAATGTGCAATTCTAGCAAATGCACCAGCAATGATGATGCTACTGATACACACTATTATGGCTGGTACTTAGGTGTCCCCCCAGAGCCTCATGCAGTCACAGGTGGGGCTTCTCAGAGCTGGCTGGGTCGAAGGTATGCAATGTTGGGATTAAGGGTGCCCCAACCTGGGCAAAATATAAGGGACAGAAAGAGGTCTGCTGCCACCACTTACTGCTGCTGCTGTTGCTTCTATTCCTGCTCCTTGTTGTCTGCTGCCTCCTGCCTGCTGTGCAATGCCGCTCTGCTATGTGTCATTTTGCCTTGAAGCCATCCAAATATGGACTGAAACTTCTACAAACTATGAACCCAAATCAATCTTTTCTTTCCTCCTTTAACTTTAAATGCTGGGCATTTTGTCTCAGCAACAAGAAAGGTAACTAAGACACACACTTTGAGAAGAGCTGTTATTCATCAACTCAGTGACGAGTGTATGTAGGTATGTATTTATTGTGTGCGTGTGTGTGTGTGGGCATGCACATGTGAACGCTGGGGATTAAAGCAAGGGCCTTGGGGGCATGTTAGGCAAGCACTCAACTGCTGAATTATATCTTCAATCCCTACTCGTTTTTTATTTGAAAATTTTGCATGATCCTTTTATGTACATTTCTGGAGTACTCCTAGAGCAGCAATGTTCAAGAATACTTTTTGCAATTATGGACAAGTACTGTCCAACATGAAGAAAAGCTGTTGAGAATTATGACTGAAGACCTGAATTTTTACTTTTAATTAATTTTAATTTAACCACATGAATGGTTCCCATACTGGACCAGCACAGCTCTAAAGACTCTTAAGAAGCCAACCCTGGGGCAGTAAGGAGGATGTGACAGGAAAAGACAACCCAGAATTAAGCATGTGAGCCCCAGCTAATTTTCAAACATCAGCTTTAAATATTTTGAGTTGTGACCAGAAGTAATTATACATGTCAAAAGTAAAAATGGATTCTGTAATGTCAGTGAAATGAAAGAACCTCAATCCACTTAGCAAAAAAACAACAAATCATCAATCTCATTCCTTTTTTTACCTTTTGTTCTGCTGGGAATCACAATCACCCAATCAGGTCCACTGGAGTTGATGGGCATTTTAATATTGACACCACTTAAAGAAGAATAAAAAGAGCATAGGCTTAGATTCAAGGTCATTTATTTTCAATTATGAATCTTTACCTGGGAGTGAAAAAAATGCATATGATTCCACAGAGCATTATTATGATAAAATATACTTTCTGTTGTTAGTCAACACAATCAATAATTAACAAACCAGGAGTTTTGTAGTAAGCAAGTTACATAGATATGTAAACTGAAAAATGAAATAGTCACTTAATAAGTTTTTACTTCACTGTATATTGCTTACCTGTTTAGAATATAAAATCCAAAGTGACTTAATTCTGCTTTGATTAGTCCTCTTGAACTTTGAGAACAGTTCACACTGAGAGGAATAACTGCTTTTCAGGCTGCAAGTCTGTGTAGCATGAAATCATGTGTCAGACTCCTTAGCTTTCTCCAGATCTGAGTCATACTGGGGATACTTTTCCCAGGTATGTACACAGGCAGTGCTTAGTTCATTACTATGACTCTTCAATGCCTGTTCCCCTAACTAAAACACTCAGTGTTCAACAACATGGATGGTGCTTCACTCACCTTTGTATCTTTTTCAGCATTTAGCACATGTGCTGGGACTACTGTCCATGCTCAGTAAAATTTTTTGAACAGCTGCATGAAAAACTGAGGGAAGCCAGGCATGGCTGGCTGTGTCATTGAAGACAATGTGGCACATGACACGGATTACACACCTGTAATCCCAGTACTCAGGAGGCTGAGGCAGGAGAATCACTGCAAGTTGGAGGCCAGCCTGGGCTGCAAAGTGAGTTCTAAGCCAGCCTGAACTGCACAGTGAAGCTGTCTCAAAAAGAAAAATTGAAAGAAAGTGAAGGTGAAATGGATACTAAAAACTCAGTACAACTATGCCAGAAACCAAGTCACAATAACTAGCCTTATATTTAGATCAAAATCTAACAGCTAGCAAAGGAGATTTTAAAATGGAAGATGTATTTTTATAAGTACCAACTCTACATGAGGAATGTACACATTATATACTGCAAATGTATTAATAAAAAAATTTAAACTAACCACATAGGATGACACACTCCTATAATCACAACTACTCAGGAAGCTGTGGTAGGAGGTCTGCAAGTTCAAGACAAGAGCAGACAATTTAGCAAGACACTGTCTCAAAAAAAAAATTAGGAGTGTAGCTCAGTGGTAGAGTGCTTGCCTAGCATGTCCAAGGCTCTAGGTTCAATCCCTAGTACTGAAACAATAACAAAACTAAATAAGAAAATTTTTAACTTTCTAAACTCTTGATACAGGAATGAACAGTCATGATTTTATTGTTTTATCAATTTCAGAAAAGATGTTCTCATTTCAAAAATATTTAAGCTTGTGTTATACCCCAGATACTGTACTAGATGCAAGACTATCACAGGAAACAGAACACACAGTATCTCCTCCCTCGTGGAACTAACATTCTAATGATGGAGACAGACAAAAAGCAAACAATGAAAGACAAGAGTTGACCACACTAGAGAATAACAGAATGGCCTATCTTCCATAAGTGACATTTAAAAAAGAATATTACTTTTAAGAGAACACACATAAAATACTTTCAGGAGTGTAATAATTTTCCTATAAAAATATTTGTAGGAAAATTTCCTATAGAATTTCACTACAAAAATATTTAATCTGGGGCCAGAGACTTAGTTCAGCGGTGTAAGCACCTGCCTTACAAGTGTGCAGCTGTGAGTTACATCCCTGGTACCAAAAGAAAACTTTTTTAATCTGAATCCAGTTATATGGAAAAATAATTATACAATAAAGCAATATTAAAATTGTTAATACCTGGCCAGAGATAAAGCTTATCGGCATAAGCACCTGCTTGGCAAGGGTGAGGTCATGAGTTTGATTTCCGGTACCAAAAAAAAAATTGTTCAGACTATTAAAACCAAAATATGCTTTTAAAAAACTTCTTGATTAAAGAAATAACTAAACATATAGTGTGAACTACTCTTACTGAGACAACTGGAAAATCTTGAAGATGAACTGAATATTAGCTAGTAGTATTGTATCAGTGTTAAGTGTCCCAAATGTGATCACTGTGGTATGACCATGATGGAGATGCATACTTACAAGGTGCAGTGCCATGATAATCACAACTTACTCTTAAATGGTCTAGACGGAAAACTTAAGACATAGTAACACATACAGACCCCCTGCTCGAGCCAGGAGAAGAACCAGTCAGCATCTCCTGAGATCTGGCCAGGTGGAACTTGGGCAGCTGAACAAGAAAGCAATTCGCTTCCCTTCCTGTCTCCTGTGTGCACATGACACGGAAGATCATCAGTATGCTTTGTCTCTTCCTTACTGGGTTGAGGTGTGAAATTCAAACTCTCCATGTACATCCCTACCTTCTCCGGAGTTAGCATGCTACTGGAGATTCATGGTTATAATTAAAGAATTGCTGGATGTGTTTTCCTGGATGAGGACACTCATTTTACATTAACAGAAGTGTCCCTCAAGATTTCTTCCTTTGTATAAATAGTATGAATTTAAAGACAGTCAATAACATTGAGAAATAACAAACTATTAGAGGATCATTGAAATTCAGGTCAATTTGAATGATATTTATTGCATGATTATTGCATTTAAAATAACAGAGAATAAAATATGAGTAAAAAGAACATCCCTGTCCACATTTCAGTGTGGCAAAGAGAATAAATGAATCGAAGATATTTAATGTCACTATGTCCATGTAAGTACTGTTCTCACTGCTGAATCATGTAGTATATAATATAACCAGGCTTCATTTATCAGTTATTTGGAGTTTATATTTTCTGCTTTTCTTAACTGTATAGTTCTTAATCTTGCTTATCTTTTTTTCATATATACTTTTTTTTAAGCCCCTAGCCAGGCATGGTGATGCATGCCTTATTGCTTGTCATTTTTTTTCCATATATACTTTGTTTAAAAAGAAATATCTTGGTCAACTATGATGGTGTGACCCTGCAATCCCAGCTCTTGGGAGGCTGAGATGGGAGGGCTGCTATGAGTTCAAGGCTAGCCTGGACTATACAACGAATTCAAGGACAAAATGAACTACATAAAAGTCTCAGAAATACAGAATTCCTTAAGTCATTTTTGTAAGAATTTAGAAGACAAAGACTATAAATGTATGTGATCTACACAGGAAGTAAGGTATAATAGCACAAGTCTATAATCCTAGCCATTTGGAAGACTGATTCAGGAGTATCTCTAATTAGAAGCCAACCTGGGTAACTTAGTCAGAATTCATATAAAATAGGGGGTGAGGGGATAGGAAAAACTCTGTAACACTTTTCTCTCCTTTTGGACACTGATTAAAAATTCCTTGCTTTGAGGTTGAATGAAATACATAATTAAAAGCAAGGTCTCTCTCTCTCTCTCTCTCTCTCTCTCTCTATAAAGAGAGAGAGACGGAAAACTAGAAGTTCAGCAGTGTAAGCAAGTGCCTTACAAGTGTGCAGCTGTGAGTTAGATCCCTGGTACCAAAAGAAAACTTTTTTAATCTGAATCCAGTTATATGGAAAAATAATTATACAATAAAGCAATATTAAAATTGTTCATACCTGGCCAGAGATAAAGCTTATCAGCATAAGCTTTATGTATATACATATACATATACTATGTATATACATATACATAACACATTTTGCCTGTTAAGAAACAAAAGGAAATGGAAGAGTAAAATTAGGAAAATGTGGCATCAAAGATCAGTATTATGGGGCTGGGGGTTTAGCTCAGTGGCATAAGCGCCTGCCTTGCAAGCAGGAAGTCATGAGTTCGATCCCTGGTACTAATAAAAACTTAAAAAAAAAATGAAAAAGACATAAAAAAAAAAGATCAGTATTATATCCTAGAAAATGTAAATCAATCTAATTATCAAATAAGCACACAGTTTTCATCATTCCTAGTACCTGCACTATTACTGTCTTTATAAAAGTTAAATTTAGGTTCATCAATATGAATGAATGGACATTTTAAAAATGTAAGTTTTATATCTAGATATATGTTACTATTTGATCAACTAGAAAACTGTATCTCTGAATAAAAATAATACTTGAAATTAAAAAACACATACACATTACAGAAAGATAATGCAAATTTTGCAAAATTTTAACAATGGTAACTCTAGGAAAAATGTTTTTGGGTGACAGTGTTACAGAGGGGGCTTTGTTTTTTGTTTTTTGCTTTCTCTTCTTTTGTTTCTGATGCTGGGGTTGAATGCAGGGCCTTCATGATGAATTACATCTTTGTTATTTTATTTTCTATTTTGAAACAATGTCTTATTAAGCTAAACTGCCCAATTAGGCTCAAATGTGTGAACTTCCTGCCTCAGCCTCCCAAAGAGCTAGGATTATAGAAGTATATTGCTTCATCCAACTGTGAAGTGTTTTCTTTTTTAATACAAAAGTAGAAAGACAAAAAGTATAATATGCTAAAATAAAAGTGAAGCCAGGTGTGATGGCATACTTCTGCATCTCAGCACTTAAGAGGCTAAGGCAGGAGGATTGCTGTGAGTTCAAAGTCAGCCTAGGTGATAGACTGAGACCCTGTCACAAAAACAAATAACTAAAAATAAAAGGGAAATTTTCAGGTGATAAGCCCATTCTTTTCAAAAGGCCTTTTCTTATACTAATATAGGATCTTTTAAGCAAAGTACTATACTGTTGTCCTTTCTATGCTAACCACTTTTTCCCCTTATGGATAAAGAACAAAAATTATACTACTTTAATTGTCCACCTGTCAGTTAGGAAACCAAATACTAGGTATATTTCTTAGTTTTGTCTAACTCGGGCAAGGCTATGATCCACCAAAGAAGAGAGATAAAAAATGGTTATCAGCTCAACATTCAGACCCTCAGCTTGAAACAGTACACCCATAGATTCCTCAAGAGATCAATTTTAACCTATCTCTTTTTCTTTTCAAAGAGGCTGGAATAATATTCTATAACTTAAGCAGAGTAAGAGAAAAGGATAATTAATTATTAGGATTGCATCAAATGTTTGGTTTCCAAAGATGTACACACCACCTCAAGCACTGCATTCCCAACAAACTTCCAAATTCTATAATGATTCTACTAGAATACTCCATCAATCAGTCACACCCATAAACTACAAGTAAGAGTAGAAGCAAAAGCCTTACAGAACCTTACTTTTGGGTTAACAGATGTATATTGCTTTTAATGGTCGATTTAGAATTGGAGACATTTTCAAATTTTTCACTAATTCAATTTCTAACCTTTCTTCAACTATTTTCTGAATGGAATTTGAATAAATTATAAACTATACTTCTTCCTTTTTGCTAGGGTATTAAATAAGGTGATAGACCTCTAAAAGGAAGTAATTAATCTTTACAACAGACCCCCCAAAAAATAAAATAAATTACATAGAAATGAAATAATCTGCTCATAGTCAATGACAACTACCATGTCTGAGAACTGAACCCAAAATCAAAGAAAAAAACTTTTGATTTTGTTTTTAAAGTCTTGTTTCTGTTTAACTTTCATTTTGTCGTTTGTTTGTTTGTTTGTTTGTTTGTTTGTACCAGGGATCCAACTCACAACCTCGCACTTGCCAAGCAGATACTTAGGCGGGTGAGCTACATTCCCAGCCCCTTTAGTTTTCATGTTGTACTGAACCATACAAAGTAACAAGACGACCACAGTAAACATAGAGTACAGCTTCCTCTGCTGGCATAATATGAGTCCCACTAGACATGTACATAAACTGATAGGAACAAAAACTGGTTTCAGAATTGGAAAATCACAGGGTTCTATTTCAGTAGTTCCTATAGACTGATTACTTTATGGTAGCAACTTTTCCTCTACCAAAGAGAATGGACCTAAAATGTAAAAAACTTTAGGATGCTCTGATATACCGCACAAAAATAGCTCCCCAACACAAAAGTGTTTAAAAAAGTGTGTTAGTTGAGGCTAGGCATGGTGGCATGTGTCTAATTCGACCTCTCAGGAGGCTGATGCAGAAAAATCACTGACAGTTCGAGGCTGTCCTAGACTTTTTAGCTGCAATTCTACAAATGACAAGAAAGTTAAACACTTTCAACACTCATTGGCACAAGACATTTCCATTCCAAAAGTTATAAACAGGGAGATAACAAGGAATAGGGACAAACTAAGTCCAAACTCCAGTAGGGCAAACATTACGTCATATAGTTTCACATGCAGCATCTGAGACAACCTGTGGCAAGATGTAAACTCCAAAGGGCTAAGGCAGCTCTGCTGCACTTCCTGTGATTATAGCTCCCATAGCTTCTCTCTTACACTGACTCTGTTCCCTCCTTGCAGTTTTCCTCAGACAATTCATATTCCTGGCTTCTCCAGACTTCTGCACCTTCAGCTTCACACACTGAACTCTCAGGGGCACACTGGCTGGCCTGCCAGGCCTTCTTCAAAATCTGGGTGGAAGCCCTCCTGACCCCACAACTCTTCCATTCTGCATATACTTAAAACCAGCACCACACAGATGATACCAAGGTCTGCCACAAGCAGGAGCAGGAGCCAGGCTTTCTTCTCTCTTTGCTACTGAGGTCCACAGCTTATGAACCAAATGCCAAGAACAACTTTCCTAGGTCACTGCATTCTGGAGCATTATACTCTGGAGTTGTCTTCTCAAAGCAAAGTCTTACCCTTTTGCAATTTTAAGGCTGCAAAGGGTACAGCCCTGCTGCTTCTGGTGATACCCTCAGGCCATCTTTTCAATTCTCCTCTTCCTTATCAGCAATCAAAATCTCCTCCGCTCTAGCTTTGCAGTCCACAGTTTTACTAGAGCTTCCTTTCTGGCCAAACTCAAAACATTTTAAAACATGCTGCTGGGCTCTTTGCTCTTGATTCCCAACATAGATCTGGCTAAAAGCACTCAACAGTAGCCATATCACTGCCTCAACATTCAACTGCCTTGAAATTTAATACTAATCTCAGGCAAAGTCTCTGCACACAAGCAAAATGCAGACAAACTTTCTGCCAAGGTATATTACACAATATATAGAGTTGAACAGCCAATGTAGTTCTTGCCAGCACAAACTTCAGAGCCTGGTCTTTACCAGAAGGATTTCTATCAGCCTTCTGGTCTTCTGAGATTTGACCAGGATCTCCCAGGATCAAGTAACACATAAAGCATTCCAGCTCTACTTTTTCAGCAGGCACCTCAAAATCTTTCCTAACTCTTCCCTTCCCACAGCCATTTCCAAAGGGTCTTAAGCCATAGGGTCAGGCACAGTCATAGCAACAATACCACTTCTTTAGTATCAAATTCTGTCTTAGCTACTTTCGCATTTCTGAGACAAAATATCCAACACCCACAAGTTAGAGGGGAAAGGTTTATTTAACTCACAGTTTGTAGAGGTTTTAGTCCTTAATTTTAAGGCTAGCTCCAAGGTATGGGGTGCTTTGCAGAAGAGAACAGTTCAGGGTGGGCAGAAGGTAGTAAAACAATAAGGGACCTTAAGTTCATCTTTCTAACCCTTTTATCATATTCAGACTATTTAAGGCATGTAGCACTCACACCTTTAATCCCAGTGCCCTTAAGGCTAGCACTGTACCGGGGCTGGGGATTTAGCTCAGCGGCATAAGCACCTGCCTTGCAAGCAGGCGGTTGTGAGTTCAATCCCTGGTACCAATAAAAATGAAAAAGACAAAAAAAAAAAAAAAAAAAAAAAACAAGACTAGCACTGTACCATGAATCAATCAGGATCATATACACTAGATCCACCCAGCTCTAAAAAAGCCCCACCTATGACTGCATGAGATTTTGGGAGGACATCTAGACACAAGCCATAACAATGCTGAAAATGTTTTATGCTTACATTCAAAATAGAAATTTGAATGCAACAAAGCAATTTCAACAAGTATTAACTTTAAAAATAAAATTTTCTATAATATAGTTGGCTTTCTCTGTTTAAGTCAACTCAGTTAATAAATGCCAAATTCAGTCTTTTATTTCTAACAATAATTGTGCATATGATTTAAAATTGATATATCACTTTTTTAAAAAATTTTTTTAAGTTTTGCACAAGCTATAGCACAAACCTATCAAAGCTGTTCTTAGATAAAGCTTTCATGTTTATTAGGGCATAGTCACTGTGCACAATGATTACAATCATCATGGGGTGTAAGTACATGTACATAGCACATCTTAATTCTTTTCATGTTTCCTTGCCATTTTCAGTTGTCTCTTTCCTTGAAATCTTTGAGTATCAGTTGGATGATTTTTTTAATCTGTTCTATGAATAAGTAATCTTACCTATAGTTATAAATATTGAGCATAGTTCTGAAGTAAAACAAGTATCAGGGTAAGAACATAAACTCAACAGTAAAGATCTTTAACTTGATCTTGGGTAAGCACTAAATTTCCCTTTTAAAACACTAACCCAAAACACAAATCTGGGTTTATTTTCTTACTTACCACCTCTTGATTTGGGTCATGTTGAAAGAGCTAAGGCATACATACTCAAAACAAGTTTCTCACATGGGATGAGGAGAGTGAAAGGGCTTTTGAATGATCCCTGAAACAAAGAGTACATACCTCTGGAAGAAAGCACTCTCTGATGCACTGAGGAGGCCCTTCAAGTATCCACCTTTGAAATGGTTAATTCTGCTGCTACAAGGGAGCTTCTTCGGCTTGAAGCAGAACCAGGGCTCTCCAGTGTACAGATCTGTGAAGTTACACAGAGGTAGACTTCCAGGAAGACACACGTTGCACTCAGTGGTTTCAGAAATCCTTCCTGAACGGAACAGACTCTTGAAATAGACCCTGTCTGGTCTCTCTTCCTGTAGGTGTTGAAGAACTCTGATGCCTTCACTGGGGTGAACCAGAGATATGGACACTTTAACTTTGCCTGGCCAGAGCAAAGTGAAAAACACCTTGTAAAACCCATTCTGATAGTCTACCACTCTGCCCACAGCCCCAGCTTGCAGCCTGGGAGAATGGATTCTGGCCTGCAGGTAGTCTCCACCATACTTCTTTGGCTTTCTTTGAAAATCCTGCACATGAACCAGAACTTCCAGCTGACTTCCCACCTCGAAGAAGGCTTCAGAGTTCAAGATGACAAAGTAACTAGAAGAAGGACTGGTGCTCTTCACAAAAGGAACTAGGCCCACATCAGGCACCTGCCACTGCAAGGCAGCCAGTAAGGAGTCCTCTTCCACACGCTCCTGACTGGACAGGGTCTGGAGCTCATAGCCACAGAAGGGATTCCGGCTGATGCCCGTAGCTTGGGAGAAAACAAACTGTCCACTGCTATCAATGAATGTAGCTGATACAGTCTCATGGTCCAAGTACTACAGAGAAAGACATAACCAATAGAAACCACAGCTACAATATATCTCTGAATATTCACATAGACAAATCTTCAGTTCAAATTTATATAAACAAACATAGTTCACAAGTTTTATAGGGCTATCTTATTATAATACAATAAAATTAATATGGTAAATTCATAGCACAATCTCTACACTTTTGCAACTTTTACCTCCAAGAGTTCTGCCATGGTTTTGTTTTTTGTTTGTTTTTTGTTGTTGTTGTTGTTTGTTTTTTGGTACCACGATCGAACTCACAACCTTGCACTTTCCAGGCAGGCACTTATGTCACTGAGCTAAACCTCCAAGCACTCTGCCAGGTTTTTACAGTGATTTATTGGAGAAAAAAATTCCCTGAGCAGTGTGCCCAGGTCTCAGGCACTCCCAGCCAGGGCTGCATGGAGGCACCTGGCAGGGATTAGGGCAGCCGGCAAGCTCCTCCCAGGCCAGCAGCTGTACTCATGTCCTCCAGGAAAAAGCTAAGCTTATCTGCACAGTACCTGCAGCTGTAGCATAAAAGGACAGATTTCATCTCTCTCAGGAATCAGACGCTCTACTTCAACACTCATGCCTTAGTATGTTTAGTGGAAAAAAATGGATTTACAACTCAACAAGCAGAAAGCATTGTGTCTGTCTTGTTCAAGATCATGGAGGCCATCGTCTACAAAAACATGATCACCAAGGTGTAGCAAGAGATGTCTCTTCAGTAAACAATGTCTAAGATTGCAAATATGAAAAAGGACACAATTATTTTGAAGAAGAGTAAATTTTAAGCCCTGAGAGCAGAAAATGAGAAAAAAGAGCTTAAACTTCATCAGTTAAAACAAAAGAAATGGATGAAGTGATCAAAGTCTGAACAGATACCAAGTTAGAATTCAATCTAGAAAAAAGCAGAGTAATTATATTCACTGAACAAAAGGAAGCTGCTGGAATTGAGGACAGAAATAACAGGATTGCATGCCCAGCAGGATCAGGCCCTCACACAAACTGACAGGAAGATTGAAACCGAAGTCGCTGGCCTCAAGCACATAAGCTTGACATGATCAGCTATCTAGCAGGGTCTGTATTTAGCTACCTAACAGTAGCTCTGGGATCTGGGGGGTATAATAAAATGTCTATTTCAAGAGACTTCTATCCCTTTTCTATAATAATGCTAAATTGTTGTTCCTTTTCTCTTGTCTCTAATTTTAATCCTGACTTTGGCTTACTGTACATTATTTATATTTTGGCTTAAAGCACATTATTTGTATTTTCATAAAACCAAAACAATGAAGTCACAAATTCCTTAATTGCTCCTCTCATCGCCTGTGTAACTGATTTTATAACTGAGTGGTGTGGACCAGGACATGGAAGATTCATTCTGCTGAATCAGTAAACTTGGCCAAACTAACAAGAAACATTGGTATAACTACAGTTTTAAATCTTCCACCACACTGGAAATTCGCAGTCTCCACCGAAAGAGCACAGCGACTTTAAGTGCCAAAGAATCCCTGAAACTCAGTCCAGTGCTCCGGCTCCTCTTTACCTGGGACACAGGCCTCTGCCAGCTGGCCTATGCCTGGTGTACTTTGGCTGCTGTTGGCTTACTAATAACACAACTTCTCCACCTCAGTGATTTCCACTATCTTAGTAAGTCATGTTAGTTATTTTTAATGTGCCTTCCAAAAAGGAAACCTTGCAGTCTCATAAAGCCTTGTAATTGTAAAAGGGAATCTTTTACCTCTTAAATGCCAGATTTCCTTTCTTCTTTCCTGCCCTCTTCTTTCTTTTCCCTTCCCTCATATCATCCTAGAAAACTTACTGATTTTCAGCATGGAACTCTCCTTGAGTTTATGGTTCAGTCTACATTTTTTTGGGCCTTCCTCGGCTGTGATATATGGAAAGCACTCTACTTCCCTTCTCTAAGCTGTCTAGATGAGGTGTACACTTTTTACGGTGAAACTCATGCTGTTAGTGAGTGTGCCTTTGCCTGTGACCAGCTGTGACTGTACGCTTTCCAGACAGAACAGCTGTGCCTCAGCTGTTCCACTAATTTCTCTTGTTGTTGAAGACATTCTCACACCTACCTTATCTCTTTAATTAAAACAAACCCTCAAAAAAAATTCCTCTGAGACTATTATACAAAGCCTCCTTTATTAAAATATTGGTGCTAATGCTGCTTAGCAAGAAACAACACAAGAACCAGCGGCTATCCAAGACCCAGCCATGTTGGGACTTACGCGGCTGCACAAGAAGGCAATCTGCCTGCCCTCTTGGTGAGTGTCCCTGGCGTGGGCCCAGAGAAGAACCAGTCAGTGAGCCTACAGGCATGTGGGCTGAGAACCAGACATCCCCCCTCAACCCCTGTCAGCATCTAGGGAAGAGGTCTGAACATCTCTTGGGAGGATGACCATACGCAATATATATAGCAAATATGGGGGATTTCCTTCTATGTTCTGTTTGAAGGCAAAGGTTATTTTCACTGTTAAGTTTTGTAGAAATTGTTTTGCTCGGGGCTGGGGATTTAGCTCAGCGGCATAAGCACCTGCCTTGTAAGCAGGCAGTCGTGAGTTCGATCCCTGGTACCGATAAAAAGGAAAAAAAAAAAATTGTTTTGCTCTATTCAGTACTCTCCTTCAATTGGTTTTACAATGTTCTGTTATTGATTTGATTTTGCTATATCTAACTACTGGACAACTATTTTGAAGATAACAAAATATACTAACTATAGTACCTATTACTACTATCCAGTATCCTGCTTTGAAGTTCTATACCAATGTCACTACATTGTCTCAATTGGCTTTGTTCTGCCTTGTTCTGTTATATTTTTACTACATTCAAAATAAAATTTTTAAAAAATTCCCCTGAGCTTCTAACAGGAGAAAAGGAAAAGAAATCATTTTTCTTATTAATTTAATTTTAAAGATAATAAAACAGAATAAAACAAACTGAAACAGTGATAAGACAGTAGAAAATCTACAGAAGTTACTATACTGCATATTGTTCTGCTCTAAACAGCTGTTCAGCTTTAGACTTGCAAAGTTAATCAAAGTTAATTCAGTTCCTCCAAATCAGCTGGTTGCTGGGGGGGAGGGGGGACACCTGTTATTCACTTGGCTGGTGTGCCAGTCAGCTCACAGGCTGGGGCTTAGCTTTCCTTCCTGTTCTCCCCATTCCATGCTCCACAGGAAGAAACCACTTTGAAATACTCCAGAATACTATGTTCTTAACAAAACCTATCCTCCAAAGAAACTTTTACCAAAACCTAAATTTCTGGATTTTCACTAGAGCCTAACCTACTTGAGAGAAGAAAAGTACCCAACTCCAGCCCCTGCAGAGGGGAAAATCAAGAATAACTAATAAAGTTCACAGCTAAGGGGCACATGGTTCCTGAAAGACTGAAGCCTAATGACAGGATAACAGTGATTCCTCTCCCCCACATTTCATTATCACATCACTTTATTATAAGCCTATTTACCATAGTTTCTTTTACCTAGTCATCATGGCCAGGTTTCAACAAAAAATTACAAGGCAACCAAAAAAAAAAAAAAAGGCTTGAAGACACAAAGCTGGCATCAGAATCAGATTCAGATATTTAAAATTCTGTAATTATCAAATTGGAGATTAGTGCTAAAGCACTTGTCTAGCATGTGTGAAGCCTTGGGGTTCAACCCTCAGCACTACAAATAATTTTAAGAATTTAAAAGTATTTTATCAGGGCAAGAAAGAAAATTATATAGGTGGGAAATCTGAATCTAAAGAAAGGAATAATACTTGAGATGGGATAAAGTGAAAGCAAAACAAAAGACCTTTTTGAAAGGTTTGCTTGCTTTTTTTGAGCTGAGTTCTCATGAAGTTTCACAAGTTGGTCTTGAACTCCTGGGCTCAAACAATCCTGCCTCTGCTTTAAGAGAAGCTGGAACTACCAGCACACACCACCACACTCAGCTATTTTTTTCTTATTCTTAGTTAATCTGAAGAACAGACTACTAAAAGTCAGATTGCTAAAAGTAATAACAGCAACAATTACGTGATTATGTACACCTACACAGACATATACACTTACATACAGTTACATACATGTAAAGCAGAAGACAGCAATAACTGAAGAGATAAAATGAACTAGGAATATTTTGTACAATGTACTTGTACTACTCATGAAATCATTCACTTATTTAAAGTGAATTTGACTAGTTGTAAATGTATATTGCAATAGTTGAAAATATACATTGCATACACAAGGTTAATCTCTAAAACTTTTTGAAAGGAAATATAATTGATATGTTAAGAAAGGGGAGATTCCTCAAAAAACTAAAACTAGAAATTCCATCCAACCCTTCTAGCTATCTTCCTAGAAGAGTTAAAGATATTATATTATAAGGATACATGCATACCCACATTTATAGTAGCACAATTCATAATAGCTAAATCTTGGAAGTGGCCTATATGTCTATCAACAGATGAATAAAGAAAATGTGTTTATACCCAATAAAATACTACTCTGCCATGAAGAAAATAATGCACCTTAAGACCATAGTGCCAAATGAAATAAAATACAGGAGCTTAAATACTGCATGGTTTCTTTTATAGGAGAAACCAAAATATAAATAAAAAGCAAAATAAAAGACAATAGGAAGTAGGGAGAAGGCCCTTTTTGCTAATGAGAAGAGAATGAAGAGACAGAGGGAGAGGGTGGAAAGGGGATGATAAAAGAATTGAGATGTGGGGGCTGGGGATTTGGCTCAGGGGCATAAGTGCCTGCCTGGCAAGCGCAAAGTCATGAGTTCAAATCCCTGATACCAAAAAAAAAAAAAAAAAAAAAAAAAAGAATTGAGATGTGTTTTGTACATGTACAAGGCCAGCCCAGCACTGCCAAAAAAGACAAAACACCTAAGTGCAATAGGCCGCCCTCACCTATGGTTTAACGGTCCACATTTCCAGTACCCATGATCAACTGTGATTTGAAAATATCAAATGAAAAATTCCAAAAATAAACAATCCAT